CTGTTTCGACGGTCGATTCCGTCGGACGAAGCATCGAGTTTGGAAGATCGCCGCGGACACGATGCCGGCAGCCGAAAATCGTGGTACACTCGAGTTGGCGCCAGTTTGGATTTATGTTGGCCATAAATTCACGGGACTTCTCGTGGACCGTTTTTCCGATCTAGGACCCCCTTTTCGTCAGCCCCTTTTTAACCCTTCGTTCTTTTCCGCTATAACCTTTCGCACCTTCCGCTCTCCTTTCGCTCTCCTTCCACATTCCAGGCGAATTCTCCGATCTTGTCGCATTCCTGCTCCTCTCCATTCTGTTCCAGCTCCCGGCTCGAGGATTCGTTGAAAAATTTCGAGCATCGATCGCTCCGACCAGTTCCGACCGTCTCGAAAAAAAAAACTCTGTTCCTCTCTTTCGCGCGCTGCTCTCCATCTTTCTTCTCCGTTTCATTTCATTTCTATTCCTCTTTTTACACGATCCCCTTTTTACCCTTCGCAGCGAAGCAACGATGCTCGTTCGCTCGCGAAAGAAAGCGAACGCGCGTATAATCGTCGGTTTAATTCGATTTGCGAACAGCCTCTGGTCGACGAAGCATTAGCAACGCCGCGGAGCCGAGAGGCGGATTATCGAAAGCGCGGAGAAAAGGAGGGGCGAGAGCAGCGGGTATAGAAGGGAAAGAAGTACCCAGCGATTCAATTTATACGGTTCGCGAGAGGACACCGCGCGAGGGGTTAATTATCCTCACCGCAGAGAGGCTCGATTATGTACAGCTATCCGGTGGCCAATAGCGCGAACAGCCAACTTTTTTTCTCCCTCTCTCTCTCTCTCTTCTTCCCATCGGCCGCCCAACCCCCGCGCGCAGCTCTGCTCTTACTATTTTTCCCCATTAGTCGACGCGTAGAACATAACCCTACACCTGCACCGACCTGGCAAATAAAAAAAGAAAGAAAAGGAGAAAAAAAAGGGTTGCCGACCTCGGGACAAACCACCACCCGTATTCCGGGCTACGTGTGTGCAGAGAAGCGTGTGCGCACGAGTAAAAGCCCGGAAAAAATTGCTGCTCAACGCTTTTCAAGTGAAATTGCTCTGCTTGTTGGAATAAAGAAGAGTTATTTAACGAGACACCGATGCGCGGAGCCGCGATGACGTCGAGTCGACGCTTTTTTATTTCGAGATCGTCTTCGATTCTTTCTTTCTTTCTTTCGAACGCTTAACCGACCGAATAACGATCCGGATTCGAACCCTTTCGAATCGTTCCCGCTTCGATGGCTTTCCCTCGTATTTTCCCGATACATCGCGCGGCTACGCGACGCGAGTTCCAAATCTTTGATTCGTCGATGTCGCGTCGCGATAAACTAATATTTGCGTTTAACGCTCTACGCGCCGACCCTTAAACGTCGAGACACGGGTTAGGAGCCTGACAACATTTGAACACCAGCCCCGATATTAACAGGCTATATCGAGATATATCGAAAGCGAACAATCTAAGGGAATCGCGTGACTTTTGACAAGTCCTTTTTGTCGAAAGTGAACGAGATTTTCCAGAGGGAACGCTAATGCAACCGGAAGAATGTGCGCTGAAATATAGTCGGTAGAAATAAAACGAGAACAGGGATAGAGAGACGGAGCTTGCGAAACGGTGGACAAAGAAAGGAAAGGAAGAAGGAAAAAAGGGAAGTCGAAGAAGCAGGGACAAGAAACGAAAGGAGGAGGGAGATTAATTAAGGGAAAACTTAACGACGGGGTTTGTCCAGACCCCGGTCCGTTTCTCTCCCTTCTCACTGTCCGTCTTTCTTTCCCTTCTTCTTCTCTTTACACTTTCGTCGACCGACTTTGACTCGAGTTAACGCTAAAAGTTTCGCGTGGATTTTTGAAATTCTAATTCCACCGCCTAATCTGCCGAGATCCGTCCCTGTTCCTCTGTTTCTCGGCTTTAGTTGTTCTCTTTACTTTCAGCTAGGAGGTTCGTACCTCTCGATCACCACGAAAACGTTAAGTCTCTCGTTCTTATTTAACTCCGAACGAGAAAAAGTTCGTTCGGACTATAATCTGCGATTCGTAGGAAATATTTTTGCTTCATCCAGCGCATTTCGATTGCTATTTCCGTCGAGTTCGAGCATCGACCGCGTACCTTTATTAGCGCGACCACGCACACGACGTCGCGTCGTATCCGCTCTTTCCGTTTCTACGATCTCTACCTGTATCCGTAGCAGACGGACACAGCGATACGTTCGAGTGTACTGGTCGCATCAAAAGATCCGCGACTGTCGCGATATTTCATTTGCTCGAGAGGACTGCTCTTCGGGGCAACGTTTTCGAAAACGAAAAGCAGCTTCTTATCTCTCGTTCGTCGCATCTGGTCGTTATCGAAATCCCGTTGAGGTTTGCTTCCCTTCGGCGAACAAAATTTCTCCGTGAGCTCGAAGCAGCCTGTAGCTCTCGAGAGTTTACGCGCACAACCAGCAGCGGGAATATAGAAGCAGAACTAATTGCGCTGTATTTAATTAAGCCGCGGATTATTTCCTTAACGAGGGCAGATCTCTATTCTTCCTTCCTACCACTTCAACGGCAGGCTTCGCTTCCATCTTTTACAATTTTCCCTCTCTATCCAACCAAACGCGGCACGGATCTCCGAGATCCTCCACCGTCGCTTTTCTTATCTCTCTCCCTTCTTCTCCCTTAATTTCTGTCACCTGCACCGCCTTCGTCGTCTGGTGCACCTTTTCCTCTCGCAAAAACACGCGTCCCGAGATCCTTCGGTTACACGCGACGCAACGTTTCTTTCTTAGCGAGAAGCACGAAACCATATACCTATTACGTTCGAGCATCGAAAGAGCAAGTTGAACTATATACGCTTATGAAAGACGCTTATGAAAGACGCTTATGAAAGACGCGTATGAAAGACACGCGCGACGTAACAACCAAATTGGTACATGACCAAGCGGCAATTTAGGTTCGTTTCCAGCGTGCATAGTCCGTGTATTTGGTGAAATCGAGAGAAATAACCGTGCACGTATCCGGAACGAATTGTCGGGCGATAACGAGAAGATGGAAGAGCAATTGTTCGATCGAAAACAATCCCGTAGAACGGAAGCGAAGTCGATCTAGTCCGAAGAAGAAAGTTTCGTTCGTTTCCTCGGCGTTGTTAGCGCGAGAGAGACTTCTCTCTCCGACCGAAGGTCTTGGGTCGAAGCGAAAGGATACGCGTATCGGTGGCTAGTATCATCGACGATAGAAGGAAGAGGCAGGATATGAAAGAAAGGGAAATGACCGATAAAAAGGTGGGTCAGCTTGTGAAGCAGAGAAGAGCGGAAGGACGGCCGTTACGAGGGAAAATCCAGTGGACGGACGCAATCTAGGAACTCTTGGGAACCAATCTTCTCTGATGAAAATACCTTGCTCAAAGCGGACGGTTCTCCAGGTCCGGGCCAATTTCTTTCGTGACTCTTTTTTGGAATATCGCGTGCTGGTAGAGGGCTCCTTCGTTTAAGTTGCTGCTTCGAGAATTTCTTCGAGAGAAACATCGAACGCGTCGCGCGCTTGCCTTCGTTCGTTAGTTTTTGCACGTTAGAGCGACATAGAAATCCTATCGACGATGGTTGTGCGACGTTATCGAATAAATTTCTTATACGAGCTCTATAAAAAAAAAGAAATGGTAGAATTCCTCGAAATTTGAAGAACCTTCGCGTTTCGTGGCAAAAGACGCGAAAAACTGAACGGATAAAGATCGAGCAATTGTACGTTAACCCCGAAGGTCTATCTGGAATCTGCAGCACGACGTTTATGCCTTTCTCACCCTCTGCTCTGGCTTTTTCTGTTCCTCGAGCCATCCGTATCTTTCCCGTCCCTTTCCCGTAGTCGCTTCTTTTCAGTTGCTTTCTAACGTTCGATCCATGGGTTACGGAACGGAAGAAGAGACGGGATTGCCGCGAAAGATGGATTCCGGTATCGAAGGATCGAGGCCAGGATTTTCCAGGTTATATCTCAGCCGCGGGCTAGAAAGGTATATCCCGAAATTCGAAGCTACTCCTACTGCTGCGTCTAGCGACCGCTTTCGAGCACACCCACCAACGCTTCCTCCTCTCTGCGAGATCGAACTATCGCTTTATTTGCATTTGATTTCATTTAACGCGGCCCGCCAAAGCGTTCATCTTCTTTCCGCGCTTTCCGGTTATCCTTTAAGGGAGTTAGGTCGCGTCGTAAGGGAAATCGAACGCTTCGACCGAAAGAGAGAGTTTCAAGAACTAGAGAAGAGTGTTTAACTCGCGATCACGTTCTCAGGATTAAGGGAGAAAGCGTAAACAGCGAAGTGCCAATGGAATATCCACGCGACAGGCAACGGGAGCCACCGTGTAACGGTAGAGATGCAGCACAAACGGTTGCGCGTCTTCGATTGGTTCATGCATTTTTCAACAGTCGCCATTTGTTTGATCAGACTTAGAGCCCGCTGAGAACTGCACTTTTCGCTCGACGTCGAGTGCAGCGAGCCTGGCACGAGCTGAGCGTGTGTTGTTTGCCCGCGTACCGTGGCCCATGGAAATGCGAAAACGTCTCGAGAAAAAGGAGTACCGCGTTAACGCGTTACCCGCGATCTCCATCTATTTCGATCTTTCGTCTTTTACCTTTTAAACATCCGTCGCGCTTCTGTCCTTTCTACTAACCCCTCGTCAACCAGTTCCTCGCGTTCTCCCGTTTCTAATAAATCGTCTTCTATCCCCGAAGAAACTTATTTAATCCGTCTTTCGCAAAAAATGAGCATTCCTGGAGCTAACCGTTCATCGATTTTTTTCGCGGCTCGCTCTTTGCTCTCGGTATTCGAAAGGGCTAATACGTCGTTCGAGGGTCCTTTTCAACGAGCCGCTAAATTTGTTTGACATCAGAAATTACGGTGCGCCTTTCACGGCTAGTTGAAAGCGTCGCTTTTTGATCTCGGCGGCGCTCTTCCAACGCGAGGCGACGAACGAGCCGGTCGGCTATGGTCGAAAGAAACGTCGCTCGAGACTTCGCTTACCGATCACGGTGAGGTTGTAGCGGAAACTGCGAGTCTGTCCTTTCCGGAAGTCGACTCTGCAACGATAGGTGGCCGCGTCGTGTCTCTTGATGTCCTCGATCACCAAAACGGCCGGGCTCGGGAACGCGGTTCGAAAATACGCTCGAGGACCGAACACGCCTGAATCGGACGAGTGTTGAGCTTTGGTCACCGGCTTCTCTCGCGCATCGATCCTGGAACACAAGAGAGAAAAACATCCCCTGAGGTCAATAACGAAGCTCAGCCGCTTGTTTACCAGCCCGCTCCACGTAATCACCGTCGTTCGAACAATGGAAGAGAACTGTTTTACGTCAGCGAGCTGGCTACGACAATGGAATTTATTGATACGCCGCTTCGTAACCTAATATAAATGTAATCTGCCGTTTATCGAAGCTACCGGACCGAGCGAAACGGAGATCGGTGATACGAACCGAATGGTTGTTCGGGCGTTTGAAAATTTTCGTTAAACGTTGTTACGCTTAATAGAATCGAATTGATTCTATTTGGAATTCGTTCGATGCGAAAGCAACATCGTCAGCTATATTTCGCTTTTTCAAAATAGCAAATTTCTAACGATACTGCGAAAAGAGGACAACGATAGAAATGAAGAAAAGAAGGTACGCTTAATACGCTAAATTAAATTGAGATTCGAGGTTAACGATAGCGCGCTATGTCCTTTAATAGTGTTTGTGGTTGATACGCAAAGCGATACTCGACATCATTGTTCGCGTTCCGGCCGACTTTTACGGGCAATCGTGGGAACTTGTCGCTTTCGTGCTTTGTCTTTGTGCTTTGCCGTTTCTCCTTCGCTCTCTACTATCCCCGGTTCGTTTTTTCCCTCGACGCTCGGCTCGCGCTAGGAATTTCAAGAATTCACGGAACGGCCTGCGGCATTCGATATGTATGTAGGAAACGATCGCAATTCCTGGCCAATGAAATTCGAGTTGCGCGCACGGCTTTCATTGCACGGATTCAAGAAACACGCTCGGTAGCAAGTTGTTCGTTCCGAAAGTAATGATTCGTCGAGCCGGATCGGTCGTTACTACTAGCTTACCAGAGAATATCATTATTTCGAATCGATGGAATAATTATCATGTGGTCAGAGAACGCAACGCGATGCAACGCGACGCAGCCCGACTCGACGCATCGGTGGCCAGAGATAACGCAATTAAACCGCTTCCCTATTATCCGATATTTTGTGCCCGGATACCTCTCGTTTCCGATACGCCAATAACGTCGAAGAAAAATTAGCAGGGGCCATTGCCCGAAATCGTACGAGTTCGCGAATCGATTTAATCCAGTAACGCTAAAGGACGGCTGGTTAGATGATTTTTTTTTTTACCAATAATAAGACTCGATGAACACGGATGCGGACCATCTTCGTTCGATATTCGGTGATTACTACGCGCTGTCGAACGTGGCGAATCGGCGCGCGATTTAAAAAACAACATCCAAAATCGGTCGGCTGATTTCTCTTCCCTCAGTTTTTCGAACGTTCGTTTTTTCGGTTACGTTGAAAACGTTTCCATTCTACGAAATAAAGATTACAAGCGATTTCTCAATCGCGTCGTACAAATTTAATATCGGCGTTAAAATTGGAGAAAAATTAGATCGAACGAACCATTGTAGGGAACAAAATAAACAGTTAGGAAGTTCGCACTCGCGAACAATGTTGAAAGCGACGCGAAACAACACACACCTTTTCGCAACGATATCACCTCGAGCGACGCGCGTCAACTGAACGCCCGACCGGCTAGTGTTGATTTTATCCCCGACCAAGGTCCTTCTCTCCCTTCCACGCCACTCTGCTAACAATAACGACACCACGCGAGGACAATAACAAGCGAGGCGTGCCACCACGACGTTTTCACCGACGAACAACGCTTTTCCGAGGGAGCAGCATTTTTCTTTCTCGATTTCACGATCTACGCGAGCGAACATCGATATCTTAGCTAATTGTACACTTTGAACGGCGCCGAGTCGCCTTTGCGATCGATCCGAACCTAACGAACGTTGATTATCGAATTAATCGATTAAACGCTGTTATGTCGAGCATCGTTGCGCGATACTTAACGCTACGACTTTCGTTAATTTATTGTACGCGGTATCGCTTGGTAACGGGTGGAAGCGACGAGTCTGGGCCAAACGGCGCGTAACGTCGTCCGAAACATTATCCTAACCTCATTGGCGAAGCGTAACTCTGTTGCTAAAGTTTCTTGGATCACAACGGATTACAGGAGTTGTTGGGATTAAAAGGAAAGGTGCATTTCGAATGATAACCGTGATTTCGGTTAATAGCTTTACAGAGCTGTGCAATGTCGTCGAAAGCGTATGCCCGCGACTAGCTAGCCAGGATCCTGCCGAATATGCGACACGGTCGAACGATTGGGTTAGAAAAGAACCAAGAGAGTCTTTGATCTAGAAAGAATCCTGTTGAATGTAATGCGACGTTGCTGGGACTCGGGTCTGGCATGATCAAGAAGAAACATCGGAACCAGTGATCTAGAAAGCGTTCTATCCGAGTATACGATGTTATTGGATCGTAGAGACTGTAAAATGGAGAATAAACGTTTGGATCGGTGATCCAGAACGAGTTTTATCGAATAGCCGTTACTGCTCGATCTGTTAGTCTTTGTACGACTACGCGTCTTATCTTTAGCGCGTAAAAGCCTGGCTAATAAGTGTACACCGTTCTATTTCATTATCCGGTCAATTCGTTACTGTTCCGCAAAGCGTAAAATAGACTACAAATCACTCCGTTTATCGATAGTCCTTTCCAGCTAATTACAGGTGCCAGCAAAGTAATTCGAGCGTTGATTTACGAACGCTCATTGCACAGGTTCGTAGTTTTTAAGGAAACTTTCTCGCGCAACTTCATTTTTCTTCCTATTATCGGCTACGTGACGATGCACGGATGGCAATAAGCGGAGACTCGAAGGGCAGAAACCTGGTCAATGTACTCGTTGACAGGGTAAATGTCTCGCAAGCGTCCCGTGGTTTGATAAAATTTTTCCGGTGGAGTAGCCATTTCCGGGTGACAGTCGTGCATACAAGGCGGAAGCGTATCGCGAAATAAATGATCGTGGCTGAAAGACGACGCGATAGAGGGTGGCTAAAACGTTGGAGATTGATGAAGCTCGGGATGTCGTTGTATCGCGAGGGGATTAAAATATGGGCCGAAAGTTCCGTTCTATTCCCTCCGTGTTTTCCTCTTAGAAAAAACACTGTCTCAATTTCTTCTTATCGATCTGCCATCCTCGTCCGACGCTCGTCTCTCCGACAATAATGGGAATAATATACGAAATAACCTTTTCTTCGAATGCCTTTTTTCGCCTTTTTTCGCGTTGAAAGATAATATGAGAAATAAAATAAACACGTTATTAATTGCTTTTTGACGGATTAGGCCTGGGTTACGGATGCGACCCATCGGCTACAAAATTCAAGAGATTTAATTAACGAGAAGAAGCACGGAAGAATAGGTTGTAAAGTGGATACGAACCGTGCCGTGTATATTTATACCGATGCTATTTACCCCTTGCCCGGAGGGCGTGTATCATTTTTACGAGACTAGAGCCTGGATGAAATAACCGAGGGAGGAGGAGAAGAAGAAGAAGAAGAAGCGGGACGAGAAAAGGAAAAGGTCGTGAAGATGGTGGGTCAAAGTATTGGAAAACGGGCTGCGCGGCGAGATAAAACGTTTCATAAAACAGACATCGATTCCGTATTACTCGGTGGCGCATCGACGCGAATCGAGCAGCTTCGGCGTGGCAACGCGACGCTAACAGTAGCTGAAAAGTTCTTACCGAGAAACTGACAGAGACGCGAGTAACACGCTTTTATATCGCGGTCAAGCTTCGACCGCTTTTGTATCAACTATTTTCGTCTATCGTCCATCGACGCCTTCGGAATAGTCGGAGAAATCTTTCAGCAAGAAAAGACCGCTATTTTGGTGTACCAGCGCAAAACGCGTATAGGAAAATTATTCGTTACAGGGTCGTCCGAATCGAATCAAACAGCGCGATTTAACGCGGATGCTTTGTAATTTCTAAGAACAGAGTTTTGCCGATAAAAGGCCGGTCGGACGTTGCCTATTGTTTCGTCGTAAAACTTGCAAGCCGAAAGACACGCGAATCGAATTTAACCGTCCTTCGGTTTTTCTCCTCCGAACATCGACAGGAAAGTTTTACACTCACCGAAAAGCGGTTTCGTTAATTTTATGGATCGTCGAGATGGTAGCGTCGTAAATACGAAGAATCGCGAGACCCCGCAATTACCTACCGCGCGCCTGCATTATACGGCGTTAGCTAATGCTGCATAATTATGGCGCATTAAACCTTCTTTCCATAACAGTATTTTACTTGACATATTTTTTTTCTCACTCTCTACTTTTCCTCCTTTTATCCTTTAATCGGACACCTTTCGCGGTTAGTTTCGTTGATTTTCAATAACGGAAATTTTCTTATTTCTCGGATAATAATATCGTCGCTCGGCGAAATGCGACGCATCGGGTGCTCTTCTCTCGTCGTACGAATCGTTACGATGTATCCGATCGGAAGAGCGACGACCGTTCTCGTCAGAGGACGAACGGGTACGACCGCGGTTCATTTTGTCCTGGAAACGTAGCGTAATTACAAGGAAAGCGTGCAACTCGCTTCTTTTCCCTCTGTTTTTATCGTTTTGCCCCATTTACGTTAGTTCGCGGTTTCCCTGACTCGCTGTCCCCTCGTAAAAATGATGCATGTCCTCCGGCCAAAGGATAAATACCGTGCGAAATAAACGTAAACCATCCACCGTTTACTTCGTCCTCGTTCCATTAGTTTCTCGTTACTTTCTCAAAAATATCCTATACGTTCGTTTATTGTCACGCTAATGTCCAGACGATTTTATCCGCCCGGACGAACCTTCTTTCTTTACCTTTCAACATTTATAAATTTATGCACGCTCTCGAACGTTCCTTTCTTCAACTTTTCTTCTCCTTTTTGCTTCAAGTTTTAACATCGCTGGCTTTTTCCGACGTAATACCTTGTCGCGCGGTGTGTCTCGACCTCGCCAAACGCCACGAGACTATTTCGTTTTTAAACGGGAAGACGGAATAAAAGAGTACGCCTTTTATACTCTGTTAAAAGAAAAATGCAAAAATGATTCCAGGTGGACCATCAAAAACCATTGACGATGATTTTCTCCGCGGTTTACT